AATGCTTTCACACGCAGACTGGCCCAGGGCAGGCGGCCCGGAGCCATCCTTTCTAGGCGCGCCGACGGGCGCGCGCGGGATACGCGCGTCACCTGCGCGCCCGCGCGCGTGTGTGTGTGTGTGTGTGTGTGTGTGTGCGTGTGTGTGTGTGTGTTTTGCCCCACGCTAGAGAAGGCGCCGCGTCGACATGGCAATTCAAATGGACCTTGAATGGCGACCGATTGGATTTTGATGTTAGCGTGGGTGTTGCTGTTTGCTTTCCGCGATGGGTAGCGCGCGCGGGAGCCCAGCGCGGTCCGCGATCGAAAAGTCACCATGTTGGCTTGGAAGCTAAAGTCAGAGGCATCGTTTTCCCATTACTATTGTAAAAGAGCTGCGGGTTAAATAATTTGAAGACGCGATGTCCGCCTGGGCACCCGCGGGGCGAGCGGACGCGCGAGCGCAGTGGTGCTTCTGGTCGCGCGCGACCCGCCGCTGGTAAGAACGCGGATGCGCGGGCGTTGCGGCGACGACGACGGCGACGACGTTGGCGGCAACGGCGACGGCGGCGACGACGAACGTCGCGGCGACGGCGGCGACGGGGCCCAGGCCTACGGGGGAACTTGCGCCCCGCCCTCGCCCCTAGAGTCCCGCGCCAGATTTTATGGGAGGGGCGAAGTTTTTGCGCGCAGTTTCGACGGGGCCGTCCCTCCGCTTTATTAAAGCTTCCTTTGCACTTTAGTATATTTTTTTCTCGGAATGCATTCGCCGGCGCGCCTTTATTAATGCCGCTGCCACGCTTTAGTAAAACCGCTTCCTCGCCTTGGTAAAGCCGCTTCCTCGCTTTAGAAAAGCCGCTTCCTCGCAGTAGGGAAGTCCGCGGTCTGCCTTAGTAAGGCCCCGGGGATGCGGGGCCGGGGCCCGGTCGGGGGGCGGGGGGTCTCTGTCTTTCCTGCCAGTTCACCCCGCGAAGCATGTGCTCGAGTAGCCAGGGTCGCTCTGCAGCGGGTCGCGGCGACCCTGGGGCATGTTTTCAGCGACTTGTAGATGCTCCTTGACAGGAGATCCAGGGCGCGAGCGCAGGACGTGGCTCGGCAATTCGGACGCGCCGCCGCGGTTGTTGCGCAACAGAGCAACAGCAATTGACTAGAAGGCTCGCTCCCTTCTTAGCAAGTCGCTCCTTCAATATAATAGCGCAGATGTTCCGTACCAATAAAGTATGTTTTAACGTGGGCCGACTTGGATTTGAAGATGGCATGGTTTTGTTGCATGTTCTCTACGATGGGCAAGCCATAACTGCCCATCCGTGTGCGCGCGAGGAGCCGTCTGTATTGTCCACGCGTTAGAGAAGTTGCCATGTTGACTTGGAATCTAGAGGGGTTTCTATCTTACAAATGACCGGCGCACGCGTTCTAGAAGTCCAAAATATAGAAATGTTCCATGTTTGTTTGGGAGCTGAAGTCCGTTCTTTTACAATGACCGCTTGTTTTTGTCAGGTAACGCGTGTCCGTTTTTTTCCGTGGGCAACGCAGAATTCTCCACGCGCGCGCGCGTGGCGAGTTTTGCGTTGTCAGAGACAGTCGTCATGTTGGCCTGGTAGTTAAAGCGAACCCTTAACGGGAACCAGCGGACACGTGCGGGAGACCTGCGTCTTCTGCGCACGTGCGGGGAATTCATTATTGTCCACAATCGAACAAATCGCCATGCAGGTGTGGACGCCAAAATTTATTTTCAACGGCGACTGATTGGACATTGAAGTTCGCGTGGATTTCTACTCTATTACGCACAGAAGAAACATTGCAATGTTTGTGTGGGAATTTAGGTGAACCCTTAACGGTGACCGACGGACGCGCGCGGGTGACAAGTGCTACCCGCGCGCGGGGCGTTGAGAATTGTGCACAACAGAAATAGAAACACCGCCACGCGCGCCAGGAAACTAGAGTGAACCTCCAAAGGTGACCGATTGGATTTTGAAGTTGCCAAGGTTCCGGCTGCGTTCTCCACAAAAAATCGCCATGCTGGCTTGGAAACTCAAGTGAACTCATCACGGTGACCGACGGATGCGCGCGGGTGGCTCGTGTCGCGCGCGTTTGCGTGGGGATTTCAGCATTGTCCACAATACAAAAGCAATTCGTGCTTGGGGACCAAGTTGAACCACTAGCGTTGCTCGGTTGGTTTTTGAATGTGCCATGGGTTAGGTTGAGTGTTCTCAACGACGGACGATACAGAATTCTCAACGCGCGCGCGTGGATAATTCGGTTTTATTCTCAGAAGAAAAGTCGCCCGCCGCTTTGGTTGGAACATCAAGTGATCCCTTGAGGGTGACCGACGGACGCGTGCGGGTGACGCGTGTCACTTTCACGCGCGTGGGGAGTACTGCATTTTCCAACATTGAATGTCGCCGCTTTGGCTTGGAACCTCAGGTGATCCATAAATGGTCGCCGACATGGCTTTGAGGTTCGCATGCTCCTGTCCTCTGGCTTGAGCGAGGGACAACACAGAGCTCCCCTGGCCTCTTCCGGCGGCGTGGAAGCCCCCCGGAACATGGCAGGGCCCTCATTGAGGGCGCCCGTGGGGCGCAGAGCCCGGTCGGGTGCCTGTCCTGGGTGGCCCGTTGGGCAGTGTTGTGCGCCGTTCGTGCTCTGTTCGCTGTGCCATTTTCGCGGGCGTGGGTTCTGTCTGCCGCGCCCCCGTCCTAGCTTGCGACAGCCGCGACTCAGAGTTTTCATTCGCTAGCGTTTTCGCATCGAGTGTGGAACGCCCGCACTTTTGTTGCGCATCGCCGTCCTCATGGCAGGTGGGCAGCATATTGCCCCGACACATTCTCGCGACGTCGCGACGGTCGTGCCGCATCGCCGTGCAACGGACATGCGTTCTTCCCGCTGCTCGTTGCGCTTGCACGTGCCCGCGCTTGCACCGTGGAGTTCGCGCTTCTCCAGGCCGCGCGCTGCCTTTGACAAGCCGCCAGTTTCTCACTCGCGCATGCCTCGCGCCAAACCCATCATGCGCGCGGATGTTTTGGGGAACCCGCTGGACAAACAGAAAGACAGCGGCCTTGCATCCGAGTGGGCGCGTAGGCAGGGCAAACGAACAGCCAAACGATGTTGAGAGCGGCGGCGGGCGAGAGAGCACGGCCAAACGCTGGCGCCGTGATGAAGAGGAAAATGGACGACGAGGATGGATGAAAGATGAAAGATAACGACATCATATGGTACACTGAATGCGACCATTGTTGTCGTGGTCGGCCTCTGCGCCTGTGGAAAGCCCATTGTTTGGGCTTGCCATTGGGGTTGCATGCCACTTGTCTCACCGATACACTTGCGTCGTGTGAAGACATCGTTCTGTATAGCTGGATCTGACGATCGTGCAAGATATCCGACAACCTGTTCACGCATGCTTTCTCCAAAACTACAGCAATAAATACCCGATGGATGTACGGACATGGAATATTCAATCTTTGTCTCAAGCAATTGCATTCGACAGCGTCGATCCTTGATCTGTCGGATTTCAAAAGCCATAAGAGTCCGATGAACATGAAAGCTTGCTGACGATACAGGCGGAAAGGATCTGCTTCCGGCGCGACGTTATGGAATTGTGCGCCCAGATCTCGCTCACATCGCGAAAAATAGCGCCCGATTCACCCAGCATTCAAGATAATTTATCTCTGGCGCGACCATCGCAAGAAATCAATTCTCCAAGGTAAAATGCTTCCCTCGCTGTTTTGATTGGATCCTCATTTGGCTGCTGCACCACGCCCGTAGTGGAAGTTTGAATTTGTAATGTTTTGTGCCAAGTCAATTCCAAACCGTACTACTGTCCCTCCAAAATCATTGCGTCCAATATCATTTGTAAATCCCCCCTGTGTTTGGAGAGCAGCAGCTTGTCGTACATGATGTTCTTTGTCACAACATATGCGGGCTCTTCCGGGAGAGCCAGGTTTTCGAATACTTCGTGCAGCATTATTGTTTGTACCGCAATGAAAAGATATGGTGATAACGGGTCGCATCCTTGCGCAAGTTCCATCCATAGTGAAGTATCTTTCAGAATTAATGCCCCGCATCATCTGCACCACAGGACCGGGCAGGCCAAATCTTTCCAACGCTTTGCAGAGACAGTCTGGCCTCAAACGATCAAAAGTTACATAACGCCATCGTTCTTGTTTATATGTGCTGAATATATAATTCGTCTTACCAGCATGAGCCCGTCCGCCATTCCAAACCCGTTGGGCGCTGCCAACATCAACACCGCCTGTGGCCCCACGCTTGCGAAACGATGCAACTTTGCCCCATGGCAAAAACGGCCTGGCAAACATCAGTAGCCAGCGAAATTCTGAATATTTTCATGAAGCCGATGGCATACACAGGCCTGGCAACGATCAGTGCCCAGCGGAATTCCAAATATTTCAAAACGCCCAGTCGGGCAACAACCTATATTTGTGCTTTTCATTTCGCGGGCCAAGAAGTTATCGGCCAGGGCTGGTACCGATCCCTGCAGGAGAGGCGATCATCGACATGCAACGTGCAAATCGGGATTGAACTCCAAAGCCAAATCCAAGAGTAGCCGGTTCTCATATGTAAATGAATATCGATTTTTAGCACATCGAAATGCAAACCCGGCTGAAATCCAATGTCTGTCAAAATTCAGCTACAGTTGCAAACACAATCCAAATTCGACATACCTGTTTTTTAATCCCTCAACCTCCTCATCACCCGAAGGGATGAAGCAGCATTCCAGTTTGGAAGTCCGTTGTCTCCTATTTGTTGGCGCGTGCGATTTGGGCCAATGTGTCGTGTGGTCTTCGAGCAGGCCTGGATCGTTTCGCGTTTGCACGTCGATTGCATCGCAGCGTGCTCGGACATTGCGCATGCCATCCCCGCACGACAGGCCTGCATCCGATAATGGCCCTCAGCGTCACACTCAGCGTCATGGCCTTCACGCGCTCTACCATTTTCTTCACGAGTTCTTTCGATTCAGTATTGCCGTCACCGCTCGCATCCATTCTATCGACCCCAGTCCAATCCAGACTTCGTTCTCAAGCATCCAAGGCCCCGCCGCCTGGGTAGGCGATGCGAGCTTGGGATGATGGAGACGGAGTCCCGTCCGTGCCGGAGGACCGCGACGAGGGCGGCAGTAAGAGGCGGCGCAAGCGCGCCAAGCGCTCCCCGCAGGCGGACAAGCCTGGCAGGTGGGTGCGCGGCCTGCCGGCGGACGAGGCCGACCAGCTCGCCTCGCAGGGCCCCGGGCCAAGGCTGCTGGGGCTCGGGGAGGAGACCGAGAGGCCCAGAGGACCAACGGAAGCCCGTTTTCGCGCGCAGCTTCCTTCCGCGGACGGCTCGTGTGCACCGCGCCGCGTTGGGGTCTCCCGAGTCGTTGTCGATCTTCGGCCCGGGAGTGCTACGGTGCACGGTTTTCCGGCCCTCCGAGCCAGAAATTGATACGGCGTATTGCGTTGGAGCGAGGCCTGAAAGGGGTCCGAACGTGGTACGGTGCATGAGCGCCGTTCTCGTAAATTTCAGTGGGGCGTGTCCCTCTACAGGAGGATTATTCAAAAATAGTGAGAAAATAGTCCGTGTATGAATTATCTGTCATTTTTGAACATGTTTTTTTCATTATTTTTTGACTACTTTTAGTTTTCGTCGCAAATCCGCCTGTAGGGGGACGTGCCCGACCTAGTCGTAAACTGGCCGTCGTGAGTTTTCGCCGGGATGGATGCCAGCGTCTCTGAGGATTTTGGGAGGGCTCCGGGGGTCCCTGGAGGCGTCCATAGAGGCGGTGTTTGAGGATCTCGGTCCTTGGGCCTTTGACGACGGGCTCCAGGCGCCGAGCTCGAGGAAGAATTGGCCGCTGCGGTTCTCTCGTGGGCACAGACGTCAGCGTCTCCGAGGTCTTTCGGGGGAGGAAGAGGCACCGGTACCTCTGCCCTGCTGCCGCCGTCTCGGCCGGACTCGCTTCGGACTCTTGGTTAGAACGCACTTCGGGAGGTGTCCGCGGAGTGGCAGTATATCGGTGCCTTCTCGCCCTCCCAGGCTTGTGGAGGTCCCCGGAGGTCCCTGGAGGTGTCTGGAGGAGCCTGAAGATTTCGAAGGCTTCACAGAGTCCCCCCCCCAAGGGAAAAACATTGCGCAGGAGTATGGAGCCCCAAGCCTCGATCCTCCAGGGGGGCGTTCCGATCAGATCGATCGATCCGGTGTGAACCTGTTCGAGTCGAACTTACGAGGTCGCCGATTTGACGCTTCTTTACCGATTTGATGTCTCCCGATCTGGCTCCCGAAACATTCGCGAACTCATCACTCACCAACTCTCGATGATCTCGGCGGCTTTTTCCCAAGCAGTTACTGCATGCAGGGTTTCTTCCCTGTGCCACTGAGGAATTGGACGGGTTCGTCGCGGCTTCGCCACGTCGCCGCCCGTGGCTGCCTCGTGGCCGCCGCCTCGGTGCCGCCCACTTGGGGGGTCCGCCGAGGTTTTGCCGCGCCGCCGCCCGCGGCTGCCTCGTGGCCGCCTCGTCGCCGCCCATTCGGGTCGTCGGCCGAGGTTCCGCCGGCAGCCCGCGGCTTGCACCGTGCATAGCCTGCGCCACACGGCGTGCACCGCATGGCCTCCACCTCCACGGTGCAGTCACGCACTGCTCGGGGCCCACGCTGGCTGACGGTCAGGAGGGAAAGAAGCACACACACAGACACAGTTCATCGTCGAGTCCCCAGGAAAATAGGGGAAAATATGGGGAATCCTTTTACTTGTGTGTATTTATTTGTGTGTCCCAGGGCCCCCTCAGACAGATCATTACCGCCGTGGTATCTTTTCGTGACGGTGCCTCTTCGCCAGGCACGCCGCGGTCGCGGCAGCGGCGGGCGACCCGGCAGCGGGCTGCGGGGAATCTGCGCGCGCCGTGGGCGGGGGCGCCCCTGAGGCTGGCGGCCAGGCGGAGGCTGGCCCGAGGGTCCACGGAGCCTCAGGACGGGTGTCGGGCGAAGAGAACTATGCACATGCACTGATCCTGGCAAGGCCCATCCTTGACCCAGGATCGGTGCGTAGGAGGGCGTATGCACCGATCCTGGGCTCAGGATGGGCCTGGCCAGAATCGGTGCATGTGCATAGTTCTCTTCCCTCTAGGGTGTGAGCCCCAATGTGTGTCTGCACCGCTCAGCTCCTGCTGACGGCACGCACGCAGCCTGTGGCGTCCTGCGCTGTGCCGTCTGCGTTAAATGGAAGGGCATCGGTGCACAAGCACACGCTGGCGCTGACCCTCGTTCTGAGGATCCTCGAGAGGGGCGAGGTTCGACCACCGAGGGGGATGTCGGGCAGGGCCAGGAGTCCGTTTCTCCTTGTCCCCTGGCGACAGCGGGCGTGACGGAGGGGCGATAATGTGAGCATATGATTAAAAAAATACCCCACCCCACACCCCTCCCCCGGGGGGCCCTATCCGTGAAGAGTTGGGCGTACTACTAGAATCTGGGGGCCGAAACTGATTTTTTAATCGTCCCCCCCCAGCAACTTTAATCGTCCCCCCCCCTTTCCCCCTGAAGATTCTCGATTTTTCCAAGGAGGAGGAAGGGAGGAAGGAGGGAGGAGGGACGGAGGAGGGAGGAGGGAGGGAGGATGGAGGAGGGAGGAGGGGGAGGGAGGAGGGAGGAGGGAGGAGGAGGGAGGAGGGAGGAGGGAGGAGGGAGGGAGGGGGGAGGGGGGAGGGAGGCGAGGCAGGGCGGGAGGAGGGAGGTGGGAGGGAGGAGGGAGGAGGGAGGAGGGCTGGGGCCCGAAACTGATTTTTTAATCGTTCCCCCCTTTCTCCTTCCCTCCAGCGTTTGTTTGTTCGCTCGTCGCGTGGACACATACTGTGATGGCCACAAGAAACAATTCAAGTGATTCGCTCCCGCCCAAGTGGTGTCGCGCGTCCGTGCGGTCGCCTGCGGCGTCGTGTTATGTTGCTGCGTCGTGCCGCGTGGTGCAGTGCCGTGTCGTGCAGGATGCCCCGTGCTGTGCCGCGCCGTGTCATCATCATCATCATCATCATCATCATCATCATCATCATCATCATCATCATCGCAGCACAGCTACTTACTCTACTACTACTACTACTACTACTACTACTACTACTACTACTACTACTACTACTACTACTACTACTACTACTACTACTACTACTACTACTACTACTACTTACTACTACTACTACTACGACTACTACTACTACTACTACTACTACTACTACTACTACTACTACTACTACTACTACTACTACTACTACTACTACTACTACTACTACTACTACTACTACTACTACTACTACTACTACTACTACTACTACTACTACTACTACTACTACTACTACTACTACTACTACTACTACTACTACTACTACTACTACTACTACTACTACTACGACTACGACTACTACGACAGGGAGGGAGGGAGGAGAGAAGGGAGGAAGAAGGAGGGAGGAGGGAGGAAGAAGGAGGGAGGGAGGAGGGAGGAAGAAGGAGGGAGGGAGGAGACAGGGAGGGAGGAGGAGGAGGGAGGGAGGGAGGAGGGAGGGAGGGAGGGATACAGAGAGGGAGGGGGAGGAGGAGGGAGGAGGAAGGAGGGAGGGAGGGAGGAGGGAGGGAGGGAGGAGGGAGGAGGGAGGAGGGAGGAGGGAGGAGACAGGAGGGAGGGAGGAGGGAGGAGGAACTGAGGGAGGAGGGAGGCCGGAGGGAGGAGGGAGGAAGGAGGAGCGGAAGGAGGAGGGAGGAGGGAAGGGCCGACCCCCCCCGCTCCGAATTGCCTGCCCTCGCCCCCCCCCTGGCCCTCCAGACGGCCCGGGGGGCAACCATAATTGTCCCCCGGAGAACTTTATTTGTTCGCCCTGGGGGGGCCCTCCGTGGGCGGCGCCCCCTCCCCCCCTTATGTGGGCCCAACCAGGCCGGCGAAACTATTTTTTTAAACGTCCGCCCTCAAATGTTTTTTTAATCATATGCCTCCATTAGGGGGTGTGGGAGAGGGGCAGAGGCCACGTCACGATTCGCGCCGGCGCCGTCTTGGAATGCTTGAGACTGGCTCCTTTTCAGTGGGCGCTGGCGCGAATCGTGACGTGACCAGGGGGAGGAAGGGGGGCGGGGACGGGGTTCGGTCACGGGCGTCATCGCCAATAATGCAAAAACAGGTTTTTGCCGAGGTGGATGTCGGGCGGGACTTAGACAAGGATAGACTACTCGGAGCGTTCCCGAACGTTCTGAAAAGGCCGCGGCGCCCGATACACCCTCCAGGACCGCCAGAATTCAGAGATCCCTCATTTGTCCTGATCCGATTTAATCCTGGCCTCGTCCTAATTAGGATCGGGAATGATCGAGAAGGATCGAGGAGTGTCGAGGATCGAGACGATCCATCGAGTGGCGGACAAGAGGAGGCTGGCCTGAGGCTCCAGGAGCGAGATTCTATTTACTGAGACGGAAGGAGGCTTGGCATCGTTCGAACGTGTGCATCTTCTCGTCGAGGCCAGCGTCACAAACTCTGGACCATCTTGGGGCAGTGTGGCTCATCTTGAGTAAAACACGCACGGAACCAACGCTTCACGAAGAATGGACGTCCGAGTGATGGCAAGGAGGGGGATGGAGACGGAGAAAGATCGAGGAGGGTTGAGGGTCGCTGTGGTCCAGAGACTGTTGGCACAGCGGCCTGGTGGCCCGAGGATCGAGGAGAGAGGCTCGAGTATCGAGGAGGATGGGGGGAGAATGGAGGAGGATGGAGGAGGGTCGAGGGTCGCTGCGGTCCAGTGACTGCTGGCACAGCGGCGCGTGGCCCGAGGATCGAGTAGGGGGGATTGGGGGAGGATGGGGGGAGGATGGGGATTGATCGAGGAGGGTCGACGGTCGATGCGGTTCAGAGAGCGGCGGACCATCGGAGGTTGGCCCGAAGATAGGGGATCGGGTCGGACGAACAGAGGGGAAGGATTGGGGAAAGTGAAGTTTTTGCAGCGCATCTAACGGGAATTTGATTCTGAAAACGGAAACGGAGACGGGACGAATAAGTTCATTCTTACCCACGGACTAGTCACTCTATGTCATGGGAACCCATGCGGACTGCGCAACCTGGAGTCGAGCCTGTCGGACTTGCCTACGGGATTTCGTACGCCTCAAGCTTGCAACCAGCATTATCCGTAGCCATTTAAGCTCAAGAATGTCAGGGTATACTTCCCGCCACTCACATCTGGTGCGTGCCCTTCGCGACTGCCGCCACCATCATGACGCATCGTCTGCTGCTCCTTGGTGGAGTGGCAGGTGTTTGCTGGCACGCGTTGGCGTCGGACATGATCGTGACTGCCTCTCACAGCGACGATCTGGCCGCGAACGCCTTCGACGGCGTCACCGACGATGACTCGAGCTTCTGGCAGACCGAGCCTTGCGAGAGCCCATGCCCTTCCTACACACCCGCTGGTTGGATCCAGGCCCAGTTCCCCGTCAACATGTACATCGTCAGTTACACGATATTTGCCAGACCGGGGGCCCAATACCGCGAGTACGATAGCCCTAAGACTTGGGTGTTCCAGGGTTCCCTGGACGGTTCCACGTTCGTGGACTTGGACTCGCAGTCCGAAGTGACCGGCTGGGACGCGGAGCAGGCCAAGACGTTCCCAGTGACGAGCCCAGGCGGGTACCTTTTCTACCGCTGGTACATCACCGACACTGGCATGCGCATCGGGCACGACGAGGGCAGCAAGAGGGCCGTCATCGCGGAGATCGAGTTTACTACGGGGGATATGATCGTGCCAGTGTCCACCCCAGCGCCTACGTCGGACATGATCGTGACTGCCTCTCACAGCGACGATCTGGCCGCGAACGCCTTCGACGGCGTCACCGACGATGACTCGAGCTTCTGGCAGACCGAGCCTTGCGAGAGCCCATGCCCTTCCTACACACCCGCTGGTTGGATCCAGGCCCAGTTCCTCGTCAACAAGTACATCGTCAGTTACACGATATTTGCCAGACCGGGGGCCCAATACCGCGAGTACGATAGCCCTAAGTCTTGGGTGTTCCAGGGTTCCCTGGACGGTTCCACGTTCGTGGACTTGGACTCGCAGTCCGAAGTGACCGGCTGGGACGCGGAGCAGGCCAAGACGTTCCCAGTGACGAGCCCAGGCGGGTACCTTTTCTACCGCTGGTACATCACCGACACTGGCATGCGCATCGGGCACGACGAGGGCAGCAAGAGGGCCGTCATCGCGGAGATCGAGTTTACTACAGGGGATATGATCGTGCCAGTGCCCACCCCAGCGCCTACGTCGGACATGATCGTGACTGCCTCTCACAGCGACGATCTGGCCGCGAACGCCTTCGACGGCGTCACCGACGATGACTCGAGCTTCTGGCAGACCGAGCCTTGCGAGAGCCCATGCCCTTCCTACACACCCGCTGGTTGGATCCAGGCCCAGTTCCTCGTCAACAAGTACATCGTCAGTTACACGATGTTTGCCAGACCGGGGGCCCAATACCGCGAGTACGATAGCCCTAAGTCTTGGGTGTTCCAGGGTTCCCTGGACGGTTCCACGTTCGTGGACTTGGACTCGCAGTCCGAAGTGACCGGCTGGGACGCGGAGCAGGCCAAGACGTTCCCAGTGACGAGCCCAGGCGGGTACCTTTTCTACCGCTGGTACATCACCGACACTGGCATGCGCATCGGGCACGACGAGGGCAGCAAGAGGGCCGTCATCGCGGAGATCGAGTTTACTACGGGGGATATGATTGTGCCAGTGCCCACCCCAGCGCCTACGTCGGACATGATCGTGACTGCCTCTCACAGGGACGATCTGGCCGCGAACGCCTTCGACGGCGTCACCGACGATGACTCGAGCTTCTGGCAGACCGAGCCTTGCGGGAGCCCATGCCCCTCCTACACACCCGCTGTTTGGATCCAGGCCCAGTTCCTCGTCAACAAGTACATCTTCAGTTACACGATATTTGCCAGACCGGGGGCCCAATACCGCGAGCAAGATAGCCCTAAGACTTGGGTGTTCCAGGGTTCCCTGGACGGTTCCACGTTCGTGGACTTGGACTCGCAGTCCGAAGTGACCGGCTGGGACGCGGAGCAGGCCAAGACGTTCCCAGTGACGAGCCCAGGCGGGTACCTTTTCTACCGCTGGTACATCACCGACACTGGCATGCGCATCGGGCACGACGAGGGCAGCAAGAGGGCCGTCAACGCGGAGATCGAGTTTACTACGGCCGCAATATACGTCTTGCCAACGCCAGCGCCACCACCGACGCCAGTGCCGACGCCATCACCGACGCCACCACCGACGCCAGCTCCCACGCGAGTGCCCGCGCCAGTGCCCACGGCATCGCTCGCAGTGATGGCGGCGCGTTGCCCAGAGCACCGTTGGTTCGACCCTGAATCCTATTCTTGCAACGATTGCAGTCTGGGCCAGGTGCCGACCGAGAACCAGCTCGGATGCACAGACGACACCGTTGGCGGTCTGACCGAGTTGGAGTGGACCGTCGTCGGGACGATTGTGGGAGTAGTGTCCCTTGTAGGCGGCGGCGTGGCGACGC